AATAAACAAAAAAACATTTTAATAGATTTTTTCAATTGGTAAATAGACTAAGAGTTTTCACTTAGGTAAAACTAATTGATTGAGGTAAACTAATTGATTGATATATTTGCATTGATTGTTTTATCATAACTAAATTGTATGTATGTATATATGTATGTGTACAACATGTGGCTATAAACCTAATCAGAGAACAAATAAATAAAGCAATTTCCACACCTAGAGAAGACACTTCAATGTATAAAATTAAAAATAAATCCAGACGCATACCTCTAGTAACCACTTTCAACACCACTTTTCCTCCACTGTCTCAGATAATCAAAAGTTGCTGGGAAATACTACATCTCAAACCAGACCTAAAAATTTTGTTTGAGGAACTCGGCCTTCTAGCATATATATTGTAGACCTAAGAACCTTAAGGAAATTATAGGTACTAACCAAATTTCAGATAAGGTAATCTGTAACAGACCAAAAATAAAAATGATAGGATTTTTCCAACCATGTAAAATGAGCTTGCACACCAATTCATTCACTAGCTCAGTCACTAAATCTAGTTACAAAATCTACCACAACTCAAACTGTAGAAGTCATAAGATAATTTACTTATTAGAATGCACACTATGCCAGAAACAATATGCAGGAAAATCTGAATGGCCCTTTCACTACAGAATTAATAATTATTGTAATCGGATCATGTTGGCTACCCCATGAAAGAACATTTCCACCTAGAAAAACATGATTTTAAAATAGGTACCTGCACTTTTTCGCAGGAAAACAGCATAGCATAATGTAAAAGGCCACAAACTTAATAAAAAATAAAATTTTATCCTCAAAATGTTTGTTATTATTAAGATGAAAGACCAAAGTATTTTTTGATTATTTTTTTTTATTTTTTAATCCTTTCTAACATGTTCAAAATTTTTGTTAAAATCTTGTTTTGTTTACATTATCACGGTGGCATAATAATAATATTGACTTTTTTGCACTTTTTTCCCCATTGAAAACACTTTGATTTTGAAATTCTTGTAAAAAATCAAATAATTGTCCAATTTTAATGAAATTTTCAGGACTTATTCACAAATGAATGAAATTATTTAAAAAAATTTTTTATTTAAATTCTTTTTCTTAATTTAATGAAATTTCGCAAAATATCTTTCTATTTCCTGAATTTTTTTTATTGGTTAAAAGTAAGACTTCTTGGAGAATGTAAATCACCTAATTTTTTTTTTTTTTTTTTTTTTTCAAATTTGCACTATTCCAACTGAAAATCTGCTCTGAATTGAAAAATAATAACTGCGATAAAACTATGACATTAATTGGAAAAGCTTTTAATTGTTTTCTAAATAAGTTATATTAAGGGCTCTATTGTCTGAAGAAATAAAATTTTTCTGATGAATAATGAATTTTTACAAGAATTTTTTCATTTTTTAAAAATTTTAATTATAATCTGTAATAGTTTAAAAATCATGTAAAATTCTGTATTGGTCTATTTCCTGGATGTGATGTACTAATTAAGTGGAAACAAAATTTGCAAATCCAAAACTGAAAAGATTAATAAACATAGTTGCACTATTCTGTTTTTAAAATTATTTTTTATTTTTTTACTTAATATGTTCCTTCTTTTCGGCTATGGTAGGCTCGAATTGACATTATTATGAAAAGGTCCTGTGATCTAAGAGTTGTCCCTTTACAGAGAAAATTGCTCGTTACTATTTACATTTCAACAGGTTTTCCCTTCAGCTTTAAATGTTTAACATTTAAAGTAAGTTTTACTTTTCCAATTACTATTATTTTATGTATTTACATTAGTACAGGTCATATTTCAGTTAAGTAATTTTTTTCTAAATAGAAACAAAAAATTTTTTTGTTCATAATTTCTTTTTACTTTTTTCAGCTTATTCTTTTTAATGACAGTTATTTTGATAAAGATGTTTAATATTAAAACTAATGTTTAATAAATATAAATTCTTTTTAAACCTTATTTCGTTCATATTTGAAATTAGTTTTTGGAATTTTATATCAATTCGCGTCATCCATAACTAGCTGTCATCACTTCATCATTTTAATTATAGCTTAAAAAATTAATATACAACCATGTGTTAATGATTGGTACTGTTTACTGAGCCAATAATTAATGTACAATAGAATAACAAAAGATAACCTTAAATAGACAGAAAAGATGACCTTAAAAAAAATACCAGAGGAACATGAAGACAAATGGATTTTGCACCTCAAAATACTTTGTCTAGTTGGACTTAACTACACATTTAAAAACACTGATATAATTAATATATAATCCCATAAATCAACTTACATTTCTCACCCATACAAGACAGCCATGCTTGTAGAGTTTGAGGTCTCACATATATACACACACTCCAAAAAAAATAAAATAAATAAAATAAAAGATAAGATACACTTAACACACACATCCCCTTCTCAGCAACCAATAAAACTGTCAAAATGACTAAGGAGGGAATACTGTGACTCAGGAATCTCCCAGGCTCTATCTTAAAAAAAAACTTGAAAGAGGCCATTTAAAGACTGACCAAAATTAATGATAAAAAAAACAAATGAAAACTACAGATAAAGTTCACTTTCTTCAGAGAGTCATTCACTCCTGTAGTTCACTATTGTTAACAAGCAGGGATTTTTTTTTCTCCTGATGATGGCCATGCTGGCCAAAACTAGTGGAGGAACCTAATTGAAATAATAAAAAACTATTAATATACAACCCAGTGTGTCTGAAAATTTTAATTTTTTAATATTTTTTATTGTTCAAAGCGCATACACACACACACACAATATATACACACCTGTTCACTTATATTGACATTCAGAAAACTTATTTCTTGGTTCCTTTATTTCCTAACACATTGACTATCATACCATTAATAAACAAATACATGCTATAGTTGTTAATGGGTCTGTTGGTAAACATAAGATATGTAAAATTTAAAGTATCAAAATATAATTTGAAAAAATTCACTACGAAAAAAAAGTATGTAGTTTATACAACTTTTATTATGAAGACTATCTTTTGTGGCAAACAAGTCCTTATTAAAATAAATACCGAGAAATTACTTTTAACAAACACCATATTTTAGTATATAAAGTTTAAAAAGTATACATTACAACTTAGAATTTTTAAGAATTTTTTTTAAGAAGGGTTTTTCACCTTTTCAAGAACTTTACATAGTGATATAACCATATTTCATCAATTTTGACAAATTCTTTAAAAAATTGCTAAGAAAAACATTGCAAAATCAAGCACGATATCATTCCTGGTCAGTATTTAGGCATTTTGGCACTCAATTGATTGACAGCTTCTGCTTAACCAAATGCTCATGATTTATATACTCAATGTATTTCCTGAGTATTTCTAATGTTTTGACATATCTTTTGGACAAGATTTGTTGATTGGTCAGAATTAGGCTTTGAACTTTACCAACATTTTAAGTTGACTTTGTTCAAAATCTCTCAGACATACTGTATATGAGTCTTGAACTCTATATACTGGAAGTTGACATGTCACTTCTTCATAGTTAAGTATGACAGGTACTTTCCCTACTATATATCCATCATACACTCATGGATTATTCTTCTGCAAGAACACAAACTTCATGATGGCAGGGAATTCAACACTTGGAAATTCCACATTTTCTACTGACCCAGTTAATGATCTCAAATAAATCCAAAAATAAGAGCAGGAATTATAAAAATTAGAACTTTATAAAATAAAATAACTTTTTCAGGCTATAATCACAAAATAATGGGCAAACATGGATAAATGTACTCACAATAAAACAAAGTGTCAAAAGAATGGTTTTTCCCATGACAACACTTTTTTTTTTAACTATCTTCACTCTTTGGCAATGTTTGTTTTTGTTTTTTTTAAAAAAAAAGATAATTAGAATAAAAATAAAACTTCAACATATTTATACATTTTCTTTGTTCTTGAAAATTGAAAAAAATAATATCAAACACTATTTTCTTTATTTACACTTATTTATGTTATTTATTGGAATAGTTGTCAAAACATTAGCTAATTGCCAATTGATTAAAACTTTATAAAATGGTAAATAAAGATTTCCTTAGTTGATTCACATTTTAATAATTTAGTAAATGTTTATAAATAAAAATTTATTTATAAATTGGTAAATGATAAATCTTACATTGCATTAGTTCTAATTGCATTAGTTTTTAAAATGTTGTAAATATAAAATTATTTTTGTAAATAAATGATCTAATAAATAAATAGCATTTAATACTTTTGTTGTAAATTCTCAAAAACCAAAAAAAAAATGTATAAATTCAATTTCATCATGTGTTTAGGTTTTATTACAATTCTAATCAACTTTTTTTAAAACAATGAACATAGCCGAAGAGTGAAGTTTGTAAAAAAAGCAGTTTCATGGTAGGGGGAATCTTCCTTTTGCACTGTCTTATTGCAGGCATGTTTATCCATGTCTGTCAAATAATGGTTAGATTTTAAAAAGTGGGTTGGGCAAGAATTCATGCCCCTTAAGAGATACTAATGTGAATAGATTCTATTGTTTGAGTTTGAGATATTTTGTTAGATATTGCAGCAGAATAAATGAAATGCTAGTATCATTGGCAATAGTATCTAATGTTGTCAATTGCAATATTAACATTTTTAGCAGTAAACAAAAGCCTTCAGCATTATCATATGTCTCTCTCTCATACATACATACATACATACATACATACATATATATATATATATATACACACACACACACACACAATTGATGGCAGCACTTTACATTAAAAAACTCCTAATAATTTAAATCTCTAAGGTAGACAAAATGTATGTCTGGAAGTTGGATTCTCATAAAAGTATTTTCAAATTTCCTCTTTTTAAATCCAGTCAAAGATTTAATGAATATATCCACTATATTTTCTGCAGGTAAAATATATGCATGTTGTTTCACACCTTTCTGCACTTGAGACCAGGTGGATTGTTATTTTATGGAGTCAATATGCTTAACTCTATCAAAGATCTATCTATACAAGATTTCTTTGAAGGAATTAAAGCACCCGAATTGTTACAGTATATACTGACACAGTTGAATAAATATGGATTTATCATACATTTCAGAAATTAAAAACTTTGATTTTTATACTGCAGCTGTTAAAACTATGGATTCTGCATGTCAAGTGCAGTGGGATATTTTTTTGTATTTACCTCCTCAAGACATAAACTATTTGGTAACAGTTAAAAACCATAAAAATCAGTAACAAAGTAAAAGTCTTCAGAATTATGTCCTGTTTGTGTCACAAATCAATTAAACTTAGAGATTTAACTGACTTTTTGCTGATTACTTATTAATACTTCAAATGGTTTTAAATGGAGTATGTTTTCCAGTTGTTATAACTTTGTTACATGATAACAGTTTTTTTTTTCAGGTGGCCATCATGATGTAAATGAAACTTCCAATTCAACTATTTTCTCTTTAGAATTGTTGTCAATCAATTCCTCACAGTCCTCTTTTGGTGTTAATTTTATACTGCATGGTCTCTTACCAATGGCCTGAAATTAATGACCATAATGGCTTCTTGATGTGTCTTGGGTACATTAACTAATGTGTAACAATACTGTATGGTTTATGATGTTATACTGTCCGTGCAACTTTCAATAGCATAATGGTCTGTTTATTAGAATTTCTATTTGGCTATCAGGATGTGCAGGTGGTGTAATGGATAGCGGCTCATAACCAGAAATCAAAGAACTTAGTTTGTCTTTAGTTGACTTTCTAGAAGTAGGATAACACTAAATTTACAAATGTACGTAGCATTACTATGCAGCTAGTGAACAGATTGTGGCATTTACAATGATTCTCTGATCCCAAATGCTGTTGATTTTAATAAATAATAAATTTGGTTATCAATCAGAATTGCCTTCTTCAATTGGTTTACTTTCAGAGGTAGCAAGCTGATCAACAATTTCACTTTCTTTTCTACATACTGGAAATCTTGACCTTGATCATTATCTATTTCTTGGTGTTATAGATCTTGACCAATAATGTGACCGTTATTGGTCTCTGTTTCTTGGTGACCTAGATCTTGAACTATAACATAATCATAATTGGTATTGATGTATTAACCTACTTCTCGATGTTGGGTGGAAATGATGGTTTTTTTTTTTTTGTGGGGGGCACTCATAATGACCTCAGTGCCCTTGATCAATCCTGTTCCAATACTTCAGTTTCAATACAGTCAGGTTTTTTAATTATTTCATTATATTTTCCCCTTTTTTGGAATAATATATATGTATTTTTTTATATAATTTTAAGGTGTGCTATATTTATGGGATAAAGTTCTTGTGGCTTGAGTGTTAACTTCAATGTTCACTTTTGAGTGTATATATATATATATATATATATATATATATATATATATATATATATATATGTGTGTGTGTGTGTGTGTAACCTTTATCAGAATCTACAAAAAGAACTCTCTTTGTTTATACCTCAATCTTCATTTAGACATAATAAATTGTACCCAAAATATGCATATTATTAATATTTGGTTTAGTACCAGTGAACAGTTCAAAAGCAGTTTTTCCTGTTCTGCTATTGTAACACCGCTATTCCAAATAGATGCCATAGCAAAGACAGCCTATGTTTGTAATATTTTGGATAATGTTAACCTGACTAGTGTATAACATGCTATTTCAAAAATAAATTTCATTTTAACATCATGAGCAGGGAACAAATTTTTGTGCTTAATATTGTTCTTAATTAAAAATGATTCTAATTCTTTGCATATAAATTCTGCAAAGTTTTCTTCTAATACATTTTTTTTTTCTGATCCATATGGTGCAATTTCAGTTACATAATTCTCAATGACTCCTAAAGTATCATTCATTTTGTCTCTAGAAATAAATCCTGATTAAAGACTAAATAATTGTCCATGAACCTCTACATATCTGAAAAACCATCTTGAGCAATAGGAGCTATCAGATCTCACCTAAATTATTATTCACTAGTTCTAATATTCAATTTACTTGTTTATCTGGCTTTCTTATTCCTGTAGGGCATCATTTTCTCTTCAGTACAAATTTTTCCAGTGAAAATTGTTTCTATAATTTTATTTTCTTCAACACCATTTTTGAGTTTCATCATCTTTCATATTATAATGGCTTAAAATTTTGTGTCATTCTTTCTAACTTGCATTAGACAACTTGGATAAAAGTGTGTTGAGAAAGTAGATATCGATTTCTTTTAATAATAAAACTTGTGCCATCAGGACATTTCAAAACTGCATAATTCTACCCAAATTTAACAGAAGCATACTTGTCAGTGGCTGCTTGTACAGAAAAAAGGGTACTTTCAGAATGATGGCATAAAAAGTGCACCATTCAGGATACAATTCTGTTTATTTACTTTTAAAAACAGGCATTATATCCTTTTTTTCAAAGCTATTGTAGTATCATGTATGCAAATGAGAATGACAACATAAATAGAGAGCAGAAGGTGAACAAGGGGCATTAGTCAGCGAACCCGTTTACTAAACATAATGTGGAGAACTGTGATGCAACTGATACTACCCAGAGAGAAATACATAATATAACAGCTATATTATTTATTTTGCTTCAATCTACTAACTTAGGTGATTTTCAAGGTTTAAATTATCAAATCTTATTCTTGATTTAGGGAATGTTCTTTCCATTCTTATTGTTTTCTCAGTAGCATTCTATCTCTCTCCTCAAAACTTCTTAATGCTATCTTAAACTGATTAGCCTTAAATAAATTTTTCATTTTGAGTAATGAATGTGATAAAAAGCCTGTATTCCAACAAAAGCCTTTTAAGAGTTTAGCAATCAATCTGCTGTTATTGACTATATACAAAGTTGGTAAATGTAATGCACACCATTTAAAATAAATAACAGGATATCTACTCAGATATCTGTATCCATGAAAATGTTTGAAATTGACTATTTTCTTGATGTTTTTAAAAAAGTAGCAACATTTTAGTCTAATAATCAGTGACACTTTCCACTCTTGATTTCCTCAAAGAATTTAATTCTCTGTTTAGAAAAATAAATTATGGTTTTACTTTTTGTATGTATAGTGCTCCCTCAAAATTCCCAATGCTTTTCTATCATTGTTTTTAGCTTCACAAATAATTTACAGAAAGACTTCTATTGTTCAAACTCTGAACCAGTTGGCATTTCTTTCCACAGCAATTTTCAACTTCTAGACAACCTTGCATTAATAATGTCCTGCAAGTCTCATATAACCTACAAATTTAACTTTCCATAACTAGTATTTGCTTTTCTTACTGTCAAAAAAGTAGAAGGGATCTGCAGGGTCCATAACCTGTTGAAACTCAATATATTTTATTAGACTTGGCAGCAGAATAAACAAAACATTAATAATATCAGGAGTATTCACATTGTTATCATTTTTAATGCTCATGTTTCTTGGAAGCAAATCCAGTATGTAAGATTTATTTTTGCATAAAAAATAATTGAAAAAAATATGGCACAAATCCAAAAGGAAGGTGTCAGTTTTCACTATCCTGTATTAAATCAGTTATTGCAGTGACCCATTTCCACTGCCTGACCCAGGGATTGAACTTGTAATTGCTAGGATACCAAATTCATTAACCAATGTTTTAATTCAATAGGCCATTAATCCCATGTTAGACTAGTGGATTAAAATATTAGATTGGGAAATTGGTGACATGGTAATTGTGAGCTCAATCCCTCGACATATGGACAGTGGAATTAGAACAATCAGTTTAAAATTCCCTAAGCATTACCCAGAGTGACAATCACTTGATGAAGGCTGAAGAGAACAACGGCTGAAACATTGTGATAACAAAACAGATGGAGACAATAGTCCACATGTAAATATTGTAAATAATAACTCCTCACCCTAGAAATTCAGATATAAAATATATTTACAAACATATTTTGTGCATGTCCCTCCGACTAAATATTTTAATAGAGCAGAAAAGCAAGATAATCAGTTAAAAATGATGTTGGGGTAGGAATATAGGTGAAAAATTAAACAAAATAATCCCATGTATCCAGAGAATTTAATATTGTCATTTGATGAGGAAGGAAAAGGGTTAGTAACAAAAGGAAATGTGGGAACTTTAAAAAAATAAAATGAGCAAATGTTCTCAAGTTAATAGTTTAACTATTCTACTTTAACTTTAGCTGGGCTGACAAGTCATTCTCAGAAACAAAAATTATGTTACCTCAAAATGCTATTCTTAAGTTTGCGAAGTCTGCCAAGGACAGACTATCATTCTATGTATCATAACCTTGAACTGATGCTTAAAGATGTTCCTATTGTTGTTTCAAGCAAATGGACCCTATTCCTACAAATAGAATTTTTTAACTTTGTATTTAACATAGTTGTAGGTCAAAAATTATTAATCCTGTCTACAATGTTTGTTCTTGTGTAACAACTTCACAACTCTCTTGCCAATGTGTAGAACTGTTCACTTCTCTGTGTCTTTTTTTTTTCCATTTTCCTGAGTCTTTTTTTCCCCCATTTCCTGACCCCCCCATTTTCCTGAGTTTTTTTTTTTTTTTTTTACCATTTTCCTGAATCTTTTTTTTTTTTTTTTTTACTTGGTGAAGTAAAGCAATGTTTTCTACATCTCACAAAAATATGTATGACTCAAAGTACTTTACTGCTTCTTAGACTTTAAGCTTTTGATTGTTTTCTTTTAAACAATCAGTTAAATTTTTTTAATTCTATTACCAATGTCAGTAAAAGAAAGTCATTTTTCTATCTGCTCCTTTCTACATTGAATATTTCTAACTTATAAGGTTTTATCTTTTGAAAAAGAGAATGCTGTCTTTTGTCTTATAAAAAGTGACTAATACACAGCTCACTACTTGATTCTCTGCTGAAAAAGAAGTAATGAGGAAATATCTTTTATCATTTTATAAATTCATCTCTATAAAAACCAATGAAAACCTGGATATTACAATATTGTAACAATATAATTCAAATTTATTACTAGTAAGCATTTTGGAACTGAATACATGTAATACTCCTGAGAACTGACATATGAGCTTTAAGTCCCTCAAAAGGTGAATGTCTCATTTTTGGGGAGCTAAAAATCAATGAATTTAATTTCTCTTTGTGGTGGTTTCATTTTTTGTGGTTTTCATCAGAAAAAAATTGTAAGAGAACATGAGCTGCACCTTGAAAGATAAACCTGATTAAAAACAGTTTTTCCCTTTTCAATTCATTTTCAGCACAAAACAGCTAAATGCATGGGTGCACACATGTTATGAGGGCCACATCAAGATATACAAATATAAAAATTAATCCATATATATATATATATATATATATATATATAGCAATGCATATGTCCACATACACTATTGAAGCTATTGTAAACACATGTATGTGTTTATTCTTGTCTTAACTTAAATATATAAGAAGGTGCTGAAAAGTTCTCAGTCTGATCCATTTCTTAATATCTGATCCAAACATAAGATTTGCTTTTTTTTAAACTGAGAAAAAAAAAAGACCTTGCCCACATATATACAATGGTAAATCAAAAAGTAAAGGCAATTTCCATACAACACCTTTCCCTCTGATAAGGAACAAATGCATATGCAAGTATGGCAATGGAATTCTGGTATTGTTCCATAAGCTTCTTCATCACTTCCAAAAAGAAGCTTTTAAGTTGCTCATTAAGCCACATCTGCACTGCTTGCTTGTTTAAACACACAACACACATAAACTTCATGCACCTGAGTGGAGTGTTCATACATCTGGCCTCATTGCTCCCTGCTACTTGACTGAATGATGATGGAATGTTGCACATGGCTAGTTACTCATTATCTCATGTGCACATGTGGTGTCATACATCAGTTCCTCTCTGTGGTTTTTACTGCATAATTTCAAAATTAACTTTTTGATTAACACTTGTACATACATTATTTTATTTTAGTTTTTTTTCTTCTCATTTCACCCCAAGCAAGGTGGAATGCCACTAGTATGTAGGGTGGGGGGTTACAGAGAGTGAAGGAGAGAGAAAAGACTGGGTATAAAGGGACCGAGGAAAGAATAAAAGCTGCATGGGTTTCAAGAAGATAGAAGATGGTTATAGACATTGCATTTAAATTTTTGAAGATTGTAGTTATCAGGAAAGCCAGGAAACGAAATGGAGTTCCACATGTGCGAAGTTCCAGAAAAAGTTTTGGAGTAGAACTTACGATTACATTTAACTAATTCAACAGTAAAAGGGTGGGACCTAGATGCCAATCAAGTAGCACAATTAAACTCAGTTACTGATGGTTGGCAGGAAAGTTTCTCTATGGGTTAAATGAGAGCAACTTTGTTTTAGAGGCATTAAAATTTACAAGCCATTTCCTGCCCCAGTGAACCACAGGTTGAAGGTTAACTTAGTCTGCTCTGACAGATTTGCTATTGAGATAAGAGTAAATGGTAATGTCATCAGTATAAATGCCTACTTGGGAACTGATGACATCAGGAAAATCATTGACAAAGATCAAAAACAGTATAGGACTCAGGATAGAGCTTTGAGGGACACCTGCATTCATGTGAAAGGATCTGGAAGTAAGCCCATTCAAAACTACCTTCATTTCACAATTTGATAGGAATGATTGGACTAAATCAAACAATCGTCCAGTAATAGCAAAGCCCTGGAGCTTATGTAGAAGACCAGTGTGCCAAAATCTCGGACACCTTTGAGATATCTAGAGCCACAGCTTGAACTTTGCCATTATTATCAAGAGTTTCATATACATATTCAGTAATTGGCCATTAGTACATATACTTTTGTATTTAAATTACATATACTCATAGAATATACAGTGATAATTTCCCAGTCAAGTAATTGATATGTGTAAATTGTTCTCTTTGATCCATTGTATCATTAATAAATTAAATTAGTTTCCTCAAAAAATGAAGAAGAGACAGCAGTTCTACAGAAGGGAGTTAAGAATACCATGGACTTGAACAATGATGAGGTTTTGGTCATGATGCAAACAAAGAAGAAACTTATACTTAACATCAGGAAGAGGCAGCTGAAATTTCTGGGACTTGGAATGTGACATACTTAATGGGCTTAAACAAGAGGATAGCAGAACAGGATCTGGGAGAAATAACGAAAAAGACAAAACTTATTGAACACTACAGGGAATAGGAAGAAGTGGAGAGCCATGATCGCCTATGTCCTCAAGAGACATGGCATGTAAAAGAAGCATTGCAAAAAAAAAAATTGATTTTTTTAGTGACTCATTTGTATCTATCATAATTCTTTCTGAAAGTATCCTCACTATCTTTGAGTATCCTCTCTGTCTTTCTCTGAGTATCCCCTCCTTCCCTCTCTCTCTGTATCCTATCCTTCTCTCTGAGTATCCCTCCTTCCCCCTCTCTCTGAGTATCCCCTCCTTCCCTCTCTCTCTGAGTATCCTCTCCTTCCCTCTCTCTCTGAGTATCCTCTCCTTCCTTCTCTCTCTCTCTGAGTATCCTCTCCTTCCTTCTCTCTCTCTCTGAGTATCTCTCCCTTCTCTCTCTCTCTCTGAGTATCTCTCCCTTCTCTCTCTCTCTCTGAGTATCTCTCCCTTCTCTCTCTCTCTGAGTATCTCTCTCCCTTCTCTCTCTCTGAGTATCTCTCTCCCTTCTCTCTCTCTGAGTATCTCTCCCTTCTCTCTCTCTGAGTATCTCTCCCTTCTCTCTCTCTCTGAGTATCCACAGCTCTCTCTGAGTATCCCCCCTCTCTATCTGAGTATTCTCTTTCTCTATGAGTATCCTGCTCTCTCTATCTGAATATCCCCTATCTGTCTGTCTGAGTACCCCCCCTCTTTCTCTCTGAATATGCTCTCTCTCAATAGATGAATCTTGACACGACTTTCTGAAACCATTGAGAAAACTTTCCTCTATATTACCTAGATAAATATATCAATGATTTTAGTATCCCAGGCTTTGTGCTGCCTGGACTTTCCCAAACTCCATGTTGTAACTTGTTACGTGGTATTTGTCATTGATCTGTTGCTTTGCAGCCGATGTCTGGCAGCATTGAACAAAAAGAGTAAATGTTGCTTCTTGGATTCATTGTTGTTTACAATGTCAAAATTCAATCCATCTTGTTCTTATTACTTGTTTTTATTTCCTGTGTTTGAGAGGATACCTGTGGCAATTCACCTCTCTTACTTCCTGCTTTGATAGGTAATTTGGAATAGGCTTTAAAAATGTCATTCTCTGCAGTGAGTAAATCTTATGAAATACTGGTCTTAGAATTCTTTTTTTTTTTTTTTTTTTTTTTTTTCTTCCAGAAATGGACTCACATTTAGAGATTAAAGCAGAGCTGTATTATCGATGGGGTGTCACATAGGTTGACCTAACAATAGGAGATTATACTTAACTTGGAGCCTTAGACAAGGATTATCAACCTTTCCATTGAAATATTTGATTGCTTGTCTTACTATATATTCATTTACAAATTCATCTTTACAGCCAATAACCAAAGAAGTATTAGAATTTGCAAGCAAGTATTAACAAATTGTTACTTAATATTGAAGAATCTTTCTCCTAAATAAAAAGTATAAAGAAATTTCACCATTTGCTAAAATATTCTATACAAACAGAATTTTAACCATTTTATTGTTTTTTAGAACTTCATTAATCTTTTTATTTATATCTTTAAAAAAAATAATTCTGTTTTTGTTTAGCTATTTTCAAGAAACAAGATTTTCTTAAGTTTCTATTAGAAAATACTTTAAAAGTGAAAAAGATAAAATTTATAACAAATTTAGTAGTCGTCTCTTTACTCAGCTTTTTATAACCCCCACACGTATTCCTGTGTATATTATAATTCAATAAAGTAGCAACATTGCATAATTGTAAATGTATATGTTAGTGCAAATATCCCTTTGTAATTTTGATAGATTAACTAATAGAAACAGAGTAGGAAAAACAGCTGAAGTTATCAACTTGCTCAATAGCCTTTTGATAAAGGTCTAACAAAAACAAAGCACTCATTCAGAATAAAAGAAATGAAATTCTTTTAAAAATTATTTGAAATTGATTACTTGTTTCAAATTCTCTAATTTCAATATTTGGTCATTTTGTTTTTTTTTTTTGCTTTATCACAAATTTATTGCATTAGCTAGCTGATCATTTTTATATTAAAATTTTAAAAAAATAGAAACTTGTTTGCTACAAACATTGTGTGATTATTATTATTATTATTATTCTTTTTTAATTTAATTTTGGAAAACCTGAAATGAACCATTTTGAGAATCTTTGATGTAAGGTCAATGAAGATTATTAATTATTACATGTGGTAACATATTTCAAAACTCTCTTTTACGTTAGTAATTGTAGATATGATGATCACAGATCATAAAATATGTTAAATATATATTTGAGTTGGATATTGTTGAGTATCTCCACTTCTGAGTCATTTCCAGTTTAAAACAAACATTTCCAGTTTAAAATCAAACAGTCATTGATATACAAAACATTAAAATTCTGAGAGGAATGATGAGTGCTCCCAACTTGTAAATATGCTGTTAGGTTCTCATGATAAACAGCTAATATTCTTGACAGTCTACTAAAAGATCCTGTGAATTTGATATTTCAAAATCAAGAAATCAGTGTGTCTGCTATGGTACTGATTTCACAAATTCATTTTTAGCCCTTGAAGTTTGGTTTTAGGTTGGTAATTTTACCAGTCTGTCTGTTGAAAGAAGTAATGTCTTTATCAGATGAGTCTTAGCACTTCCTTGAGCAAGAAAAGCTGGCAAACTCTAACTACTTAAAGATTTATGTTCAAGAAGAGTATCTCTCCTTTTATTCACACATGTTTCTTGGTTAATTTAATCTTGAGTACTTGATGATTATCTGAATAGATTTTCCTAATGACAACTCCAGATTTAGACACACTATTAAACACATGCACACTCATTCCTATACATTGAAGATATTCTCTTGGCTATGTCCTATAATCTATAACTATTAAGAGCACTTTCCATGAAGCAGATACTATTGTTGAGTTTACTAGTGTTGCTAATATTGCTAACAAAGTACTTTGATATTAGCAATGATACTTTGCCTCACTTGTGTAAACTTTAGATTAGCTTTTAATATCAAATGCTTGAAAATGTGCAATAACTTTTTAATGGAAGTTAATTTTGGAGATGCTTTAGCTTAATTAAATTATTAAATGTCTGCATAGAAAGACTTGCTGCTGTAGAAATTGCTGTCAACCATTAGCTGTAAAAAGATACGGAAAATTGAAGTTCAGTTAATAAAGTAGAAAATATACATTTATTGGATTAAAACATTTACTAATGTTAGGCTTATTATTCATTTTGTCAATAGTTTTATAAAAAAGATTTTAAATTTATTTTTTTTCTATGTTTATCCTTATAGGGCAAATATTAGATTCACTTTTAAAATTTAAAAAGAATTTAACACTGATTATTTTAGTTTTATTTTGACTTCTATGTGCTGTGTCACTTCAGGATGTAGATGATCATAGCTTTCACAACTTATCCTTTGTTGCTCTCAGCAGTGTGTGTCTTTTTACTATCCCTCCCACTTTCTGTTTTGCCATTGATTTACACAAGCTCATTAGGTAGGTTTCTTGCTGTTTCATTAAGTTTCTCTTGCCTTTGATTTGTCCTGTGAGTGCTAAAGTCTTTCTTCTTCATTATATGCCCCAGAAATTTCAATTATCTCTTTTAGATTTTAAATATAATTGTCCTTTTTGTTTCCATTATGCTGTGTGGAAATTGTTCAGCATTCCCTGTCATATAGAAGAATTGATATTACATAGCAGCTAAACACTGTTTATTTTAAATGAAATTTTCTGGTTTCTTGCTACATTTAATTTTTAAAAGGCATTATTTTGCTATTTGTGCTTTCAGATTTCAGTGTCACATTTTCTATCATCTGTTAAAATTCATCACAGATTTTTAAACTTCTGCACTTGTTTGATTTTTAGCATCTCTAATTCATAACTTGCATGTTAAGCCTTTTCTCTTGCTGACAGCTATACATTCAGTTTTAGAATGGGTATCCTGAGGGAATTGGAGCTCCTATCAAGATTTGTTATCAATGGGTATAATCTTAGTAACATAAGATGACACTGTATTTATTGCAGACAGAGAAAACTGCAAGCACTCTTAGACAAGGTAGTAAAGAAAAGCAAGAAAAAAATAAGGGCAAACCATCTACTCTGTCTAGGTAGTTCTGTAATATTCTTGCTTGCCATTTATACAATGTCATTTGTATATCTTAATGCTGTTAAGATTGTGACCACCAATAAATCTTGGCAGGATATACCCCTTTCTATTTTTGTGTACTAATTTAATTTTCTATCCATTACTCACAGAATCATTGAGGCACTAGATGACAAATACATCTCAAGGATGATCACATTAGATATTTCAAAGACCTTTGACAAGTTGTGGCATAAAGGGTTACAGCACAAGCTCTCTAGCTATTTCTGAATTATCAACTTCTTCCTAATGAAGGTGTTAATAGCCAATCCTCCAAAGGCCAAACAATCCTGCAGGTGTTCTGCAAGGCTTGATTCTCATTCCAACTATTTCTCCTTTAAATGATCTGCCTAAGAGTATACTCTGGTTATTTGCTGATATATGGGTGCACCTCCAAAACTCTAGATGACCAACTCTTGGCAGCTGATCTCTCCTCTGACCTAGCTTTAACAGCTCAGTCAGGGAAAAACTGCTTGGTCACATTCAATGCATCAAAAGCCAAAAAAATTAGTGACATTCAGTCATTACTGAGCGGAACCCGAATTTTCACCTGTCACGATGAACGGCTGTTCTCTCACTCGGAGAAGCCCCGTGGCTTTGAGCACCTCTTAAATTCAGCCCAGACTTCAAGTGAAACCCATGTTTTTTTTTTTTTTTTTTGTTTTTTTAAGATTATTTCATCCCAAGAAGGGTAGGAATGCCACTAGTACACAGGCAGTGAGTGAAAGTAAGAGGAAAGAATGAGTATAGGGAGCATTAAGAAAAGGACAAAAGATGAATGAAAAAAGATAACAATTGTTGTTGCATTTAAATTTTTGAAGATTGTAGTTATCAGGGAAACAACTAAATGGGAGGGGGTTCCACAAGCAGGAAGTGTGAGAAAAGAAACTTTTGGAGCAGAATTGGCATTTGTATTTAGCTATTTCAATAGTAAACAGGTGGGACCTAGATGCCAATCTAGTAGCACGCTTAAATTTATATAGTCGGGGCACCAGGGGGGGAAAGCTCATCAGAGCAGTTGCTATGAAAATATTTGTAGAAAAGACAGAGGGAAGCCGCTATTGGTAAAGATGCTATAAAATGGGCTGTTCCCTGTACTGACTACTACTACTACTACTATCCCACTACCTTTACAAGAACCAGATCAGGTTGAAAATGGAGTATTATTGCCATATATAGACAGAGAATTCCGATTATAAGCTTGGCTCATTAGGTTGATTGTACAATGAAGTTCACATTCATTTACATCTGGCTTCTTAGGAAGATGAATCTAGTAAGGTATTCTGATATTTTCCTGCTGTATGTATTTTTGTATGTATATGTCATTTATTATTCCTGCAATCTTGCCTTGCACTGCCAGCAAGATTACAGAAAAAGGCTGCATGCATATTTATTACAAACTCATCAGGTCCTTCTGCTTTGTTCCTGTTCATCTTGTCCAGTGCCAATTTTATTCCCGATTTTAGTATTTCAGATCCTTTCATATTTTTGTGCATTGCAGGTTTTTCTCTTTGGTTGTAAAATAGTTCTCTAATAGTTTTACTAATATAAGTGTTCCCTCTTGATTTTATGCAACCTCTTGATTAGCATATTTTTTGTCCTGTTAATTCTTTTATTCTTTTGTGAATATTTACCTTATCTATGATGCTTATTCTTTCTGCTTCCACAAACATTTCATTAAGCCATTCCTCTTTATCCTGCCTGCATTTGTTTCTAATTTTTGTGTTTAATGTTCTGTAATCTGTACCATTCCTTGGCATTGTTTTCTCTTTTTCATCATTTCAAGAATTTCTCTACCAAATACTAAAATTAGTAACACCCATTTAAATTTATAAACTGCTTTAAACTTTGAAAGCATCTCTGGCTGTAACCAATATTTTAATGTAAAATCTTTGCAAATTATTTTAGTACTATTTTTGAATTACAAAACTGAGAATAGTAAGTGCATATACACATATCTATATACTCATGCATACACAGAAATTGAAGTACTTGAGTACACCATTGTGTACACTCCAGTTAAAATTATTGTTTTCATTATCAATTTTAAGAAAGATTATTTTTTAGTTATGTGTACTGAGTATATTATGCAATAACAGAAATTAAAAATAGAAAAAACTGTAAAGTTTAATAGCTGCAGCATATAAAATATATAGAAAGATAAACCTCATTATTTACATCTTTGTTGTTGTTATCACAATGTTTCAACCTCCAGGCTTCATCAGGTATATGTCGATCAAGGTAACCTACAGGTAATTCTGATTTTTTAATCTAAAGGGGTAGACTGTTCTCATTCCACAGCCCATGTCTAGGGATATCTCATCTAGTACTTATTTTTAGTACTGCTCAGTTATTGCTCACCTTGTTTCCACTGAGACCAATTGTACACTGCTTGGCCCAGGTATTGAACTCACAATTACTATGTTCTCAAATTCACAAACAAATAATTTAATCCAGTAATTTATTGTCATCTAGGACAATTCTGAGTGGAGAGCTTGGAGCCTTAAACCTAACCTTCTGATATATGCTGCTGTTTTTCATACTTGATTGTATTCAACAAAGATTCTTTTGTTACAGCTACTGTCATTTGTATTTCTTTCTTTATTAATGGCTCCCATATTGTATTTATTTCTATGCTAGGCCTACTAAGGAGGTCCTCATAGCCTAGAACATTTGAGACATCTAACTCTCCAGTGTTGTTCCTTATCCACTATTTTCATTTTATTGCATTGGGGTTGGTAACTACTCTTTTTCTTCCATACATGATCAGCCAGGATAATTCAATGTGGTGTAATGGTTAGCAAGCTTATCTCACTAAAACAATTATGAGTGAGTAGTGAGTTTGATCCTCACTGGGTGCCCCATATTTTTGGCCTTGTTCCACATCTAAGCTATGCTTAGAAAATCATCATTCATGATCAGCCACACCTGACTTCTTTCTCTCTCTTCACTAAGACTTTTTGATGTTCCCCTGCCTTACGTTTAGCAGATGGCTAGCTTCATCTTTATATTCTCTGCCCTAACTGCAAGGAATTGTGTACATACAGTTTCTTAAGAACTGACCTGTCTTCTTTCTTTTTTTCTTTTTCTTTTTTCTAGTTTTGAAGACTTTTTTTATGTTTGTGGTAAGATATTTCTTTCATTCAGTCTTTATCTTTTTTCACAATAAGTGTTTTGGGTTTCTTTTGTTTATTTTTTTTTTTTTTTAAACAGTGTGTTTTTGACTGCATCAAGAAAAAGATATCTAAGATATTATTTTGAGTTGTTTTACATATTTACAACTTAGAACAAAAATAATTGACTCCCTTCCATGTACTACATAATCTTATCTAAAAAAATTTCATTATATCTCTTCAGCTCCTCTCCGCTGTATCCACCTTAAAAATAAATAGTGGGGACTTCTAGAACATACTTACATTGCCAAGTACACATTTTGTTAAATGTTTAATATGTAATGATACTGCTAATATTGTGTTGGGTTTTTTTTTTCACTAAATTTCCTGATTGGTTTTGTTACTGCATAGTAAAACTACTAAATACTTTTAATAATGTTTCAATTACTTGAAAGATTATTGGTATTTCTATAAAATCTACAAGCACTCTCACTTGTTCATACTGATCACAAGTTTTATTATTTCATACTATTGCTGAAAATGGAAATTTAACATTGACTTCTGTTAGAGCTTATGAAGTTTGGTAACTAGTCTGACTTGAAATTAAATTCACACCTTCAGAAGTTACTTGCAGAAATTAGCACAAGTCTGTTTCCACCAAGAATAAAACAGTTGTGTGTCTCCTGAGATTGGAGAAGAGTATACAGAAGCTAAAATAAAGATAGTTTGAATTGAAAAGAAAAGAAAACAAAACATGCCCAACAGGCAAAATGAGCAAGCATCAATTAATGTGATTTGGTATTGAAGGTGGCTGTTTTATGACAACATTTCTCTAACTATTAATGGCTAATTTTGTATAGGTTAACCAATAAAATGAGTTTTATTAATGATCGCTTTAGGTGAATTCTATACAGTGATCCATTTGTAGATGTTGCCCAGTGGTTAGATTCAGATTGCATTGTGAAGTCTGTGGTTCAATTTCTACTGCAAGTTAAGTAGTACTTGTTATCACAATTTCTCTTATTGTGACTTCAAAGCCATTTTTATGGCAAATCTGTGCAGGCAAAAATTCTATATAATTGTTTGAAGATAATGAAATAAATGGAGGTTGTGTTGGTTTATTTCAAAATTATTTACAACAATGAATTTCTTTCCAGTTCTTTGTCAGGTATCATAGTGTAATTCCTGTTGTTCAGGAAATAGAAAATATTTCAATATAACATTTATTTTTAATTATTTCATACAATTTCTGGGAAGCTTATTCACCACAGCCATGTTTACCATTATCCTTTGTAAACCCCCCCCCAATTAATTTTAGTCTTATTCCGTTTTATAATATCTTTATCAAGCAATATTAAAAAGAAACCAACTTTGAAGGGGACATTTTTTAAAAATCTAATCTTTTTCTAAAATATTAATATCTACCTTAGATTGATTTTGTTCTTTTTTTTCTCTTTATAATCTTTACCTTAATGACATAAAACTTCAAGGTAAAACAATTATTTATTTTTTTGCTACAGACATGCTTAAACAATTTATATTCTATAATTTTTTGGAAGATTTTTCTGATATGTTTTTAGATTTTGATGGCATCTCCATGTTGATTTCTGTTTTAAAATTTCATATCTTCTATTTTCTGTAAATAATAATAATAATAATAATAATGGCAAAATAGTTTGAGAAAGCAGTAGTGCTCTTTAAGATTTCATGATGAAATTTTCTTAAAATGTTCAAATATGATCAATCTGCTTATATTGATGTTTTATATTAAAATAAAAGCTTTCTTTTCAAGATATATGAATCTTGAATGTTATTCTCTTCAAGTACATACACTTAGTGAGCAAGGCTGGAAAATATTAAAGAAGTGATAAATTCAGAAAAGGATTAGAAATATTTCAAAATATAAAAAAATATACCAAGGGCTTTTGATGAACACATCTCTTGTTTCAACAAGTAAAAATAAACAGCTTTTGTATTAGTAATTTTGTGAATGGTTTTGTGTTTGAAATCATCATGTCAGTGTTTTTTTTTTTCTGTTTTTTAATTTAAATTTTGTATAATCCAATTTTCCTTTAATTCATAAGTACAATAGTACAGTGCAGAGAAGGAAAATTATTAGAAAAATATCCCTGTTAAAATTATTCCCCCCTCCTATTTTAAATTCATTTATAAAAATAAAGATCAAAATATATATTATTACTTTTTCATACTGGATAATTTAATTAAATAATTGAACAAAAATTTTTTTCTTCAAATGAAGTAGCAAAAAAAGGAGGGGGATCCCACAAACAAATCCAAATCTTAATTGTTTAGTGCTAAGTCATTTGTTGTTAATCAGTGGATGTATGACGTACACGGGTAGATATCACTGACTTCTATTGAATATTAATATACCAACATCCTGTGCGGCAGCACAGTCAAGTGTCTTCCGGCTGTGGAACCTACACACATCCCTTCTCCTGATTTTCGTCTCTCTCTCTCTCTTTCTCCTCCTCCTCCTCCTTTTCTTTAGTCTTTCACTCAGTTCCTCTTCTTATTCCATTCATGATGCTCTTCTCTTGTCAACATTCTTTCATCCTTCAATGTGGCACAACACAGGGATAGATATCTGGATTTATTTTGGAAGTTAATGAGATTTTACCTGATCCTATAGCATACCACGGTACACAATCTCCGTGTGAAATTTCCGTAAGTATTCCAACAACCACTTCTTGCGTAGCATAGCTTTCATGCTTGTCTATTTATTTTCATCTTCTGACATGATTTCTCAATTATTAAGAGTCCATGTAACATTTCAGTTGATTCATTACAATCTTTATAAGATATCCTAATTAATCTTTTTATCTATTCAACACCTTATTTTAACCCCCACCTCCACCACTTTTCCTCTCTCTCTCCCCACGTTTTTTAATGATTAGCTTTTCATATTATTCCATATTCTTCCCCCCTTGGTTTTCAATTGTGCTGTACACTGCTGCCTGCCTGCTTGCTGTATGTATAGCACTTCTGACTCATCACACAGATAGAGGCAGGCAGAGTGAGATGAGGAGGCTGAGAATCAAAAGGAGGACAGTGTGTGGGAAGGATAGGCATTTGGAGAAAGCAGTGTTGCTATTGATTCCATGGTCTAAAGGAACTAATCTAGCTTTTGGTGTTAAGCCACAATTTTATAGAATCACACAAATGTTAGCAGATTCTCAGCTGATACTTTAATCATTTCACAGTTGCTGATTTTATTATCATTTATGGCCTTCCATTTTTTTTTTTTTTTTTTTTACTCTCAACTTGGTAGACACATATTCAGTGGAATATACTTTAAGTTATGTAAATACTGACCATAGATTTATTTCCTATTTCTATACTGTATTATTTATCTTCTCTTTCATTAAGAAATTGTATTTTTCACTATTCTAAATTTTTCTTCTACATTAAAAAATAGTAGTAGTGAGTGTAATCCATTAACTTGAAGCTAATGTTTCAGGTAGACATTTAAAAATATATTTATTAATGTTATGCTACTAAAACTGTAATCTGAATTGAGAGCAAAGTTTTTGACAAGAAGTAAGTTGTTTTCTAACGAAGATAACAAAATCAACCAAAGAAAACAAAAAAGTCTTACTCACACGACCATGTATTATTAGATAGGAAACCATTATTCTTTTTATATTATCCACTTGCTTCTCCATATTTTATTTCTTTTTATACCATCAGGATTTGACTGATTTAAATCTGGTTTTAATTACCTTGACACTTACATGAAGCATGAATGAAAATTTAAAAAGAATGTAACCCATTGATAAGAAATGAACAAATTAAACTGGATTATTTTCCCAAGTAGCATAGTTTTTTTTTATTTCAGCATGACCAAAAAACAAACTATCCATTTTCAGTAATAGAATTTTTAAATTATAAATCTATTATTTAAATTTTAATTGGTTGCTACATGAATCTAAATCTTGATTTTTGTGTTGTCAAAATAGGTTAACATTATAGAAACAATTGGATAAAAATCCTCGACAATCTACTGTAACTTTTTATTCTTTGCCTTTCTCTACCTGATGTATCACTTTATTCTCATAATAAGGACATATTGTGTCATTTTTAGCTGTTTACATTGACGCCATTTTCATAAGGGTATGGAATTTTCCACTAGATTCAATAATTTATTCTTCAACAAACCTTGTGATGCTACAATTACCAAGCTCTATTATAATTGATTTCAGATTCTAAACATTGATTTGACTATTTAGAAATCTATAATTGTTATCACCCTGGTCATAACAATCTGTATTCACCATAATTTTGATGACTTGACTATTTGCCTGATACCCCCCTTTTGTACTGATACAGGCACTAGATGTCAAATAAGTTGGTCTCTGTGATTTACTCACTAGTATTGTTCATTGTTTACTGTTTTCTGACTGACAAAAGCACATATTTTGCTTGATGCAATGATGCTGCTACTGCTACTATTGCTGCACACTGAAAAATATACTCCAAAATTAACTGTAAAATCAATTGCCCCCACCCCCAATCAAAAATGTTGCTGGTTTAAAGATTTCAAGTACATTTGCATTCTGTACCCAAAACCAATCACCATAAACAATATTGATCAATTCAAATATCAACAAAGCAAGTGGCTCTGTGCCTATGGTTGACATAAGTATTATCATAATTCAAAATGTATAGGTATTTACTAAGCTTGGTTTTAATCTGGCACAAGGCCAAGTGTGTTGGAAAACTCAGTGAAGACCATGTTCACTCCAGCAGTAATGTTTTTCAAAACCAGCTTGTCGACCACTTCTCCATGGTGAACCTAGTTTATAATTAAGCCATAAAAGTACTTTCATATGAAAAAGGAGCAACAAAAAACTGTTTTTATAGATAATGTAATATTTATATTATGTTATAACTATAATTTTTTTCTTTTGTATCTTGCAGGTATGTGCGTAGATTTATATATATATATATATATATATATATATATATATACACACACACACAGAGTCAAATTTTAATATATATATATATATATATATAGTTTTCCTTCAGTCTTCTATTAATGTTGTTTTTCACCCTCTTGTGGTGTCTTGGTGGTTCTTGCCCCCCCACACACACACACACACGCTCACATTTCATATAGTGTGTGGTTCATTCACATGACATTTTGTGCAACTCATATTTTCACCCTGTTGTTTTGCGTATCTCCAGTTAGCCACTCTTTGATATTTCTATCTCCCCACCAACCATTGCCCATGCACTGCTGGCTTTGCAGATTGCTTGCTGAGATTTTAGTGAAGTGCTTTACATTTTTTCCTTTTTCATTTTCTTCCTCATTTCTTTCTCTATACTCCTTCCTCATTTCTTTCTCTATACTCCTTCCCATGCTCATTAAAAAAAAATACTTCTCTATACTCTTTTCTTTACTCATTCTTCTATTCTTTAAATGCATCACTTGTGAATTATTTTTTTTTTACTCTATCTTTCAACACCATCAAACAAAAATATCTAATAATAGATATTAAAAAAAGGAAATTTTATTTTTAGTTTTTTTTTTTTTTCTATTTTTTTTTGTTCATTGAAAAGTAAGAAGAAAAAAAACATCTGTATATTGTGAACAAGCTTGTTGAAGACAAAAGAGACAATCATGTTTACTATATAAACAATATTTCAGTACTGTACAGTTGCGTGTCTGTCTCAACCCCTAGATTTCACATCCTATTATTTTTTATTGTTATGTAAAAACAAAATTTGATTTACAGTTGTGATATGTAGCAGGGAATATATTTTACATTGTAATTTATAAGAATATTTATTGATAAATTTTGAAAAAAATCATTTCTGTTTTTATCTAATTTTACATGAGTAAAATGATTAATGAGTTTTATATTTAAAAGGTGAGTGTCTAAGTCCAGCTGATGGAACAAAAAAACAAAAAAAAACACGCTATTTTAGTTGAGTAAATTTAGTATATACAATTGTGCAGTTTTCATTTTAATTAAGTTTTACTCCATAAGTGTTTTCTTATATAGTATACTACAATAATAGGTATCCTTAAGCATTTGTTTTCAGCCATCAATACAAGAATAACTGTTATACTAACATATAGATCAATTTAATGTTAAATCATGGCTTCAGTACACAAAATTCTTCATTATAGCAGATTTATTTTCAGTAACCATTTTCTTTAAATAAAATCAAATATCATGATTACTTGATTTTATTTTTTTATAATCTCTATCTACGTTTCCCAGTAGAAATGTTGCAAATCTATATTTATGTGAGTGTTTTGTACAGTAAAACATGAACTTTTTATTATTTTCTGATAAGTATACTGTAACGATATAAACTTTCCTATTCAACTTATAATAATTAAAATAGATTTTACTCTATTTTTGTGTATTTTAATATCAGATATTATTGTGTGTGTGATACTATCTTTTCAAAATGGTAAAAGTGGTGTGAAACTAGAAGTAACTTTTCTACCCACTGATGACTGTAATTGATAAATGTAAGGTTCGTTTAAACTGTAAGAAATTAGATATGAATATTTGAAGAACAGAGAAAGAACTATGTATTGTTATAGAAAATACTGATTTTCACTCAAAATTCTAATGCTTCCAGCTCTACTTGCATTTGAAATGGCTAAAAAGAATTTTGGTGCAATTTGTCTTGACAGTAGCATTTTGAATTTTGGTCATTTGAAGTTGATGAAATTATCAAGATCTTTTTATTTTTTTAAAATTTTCTTTATAAAAATGAAGAATGATTACATAGAATTAAAATTCACATTTATAAATGTAAATCCTGACATGACCTATATTGGTGCCGATTACCAAAAAATTCAATTGATAAATGAAAATGCAAATAAATTAACTACAATTTGACCCCCAAATTTGTAAAACGATAGTCTCAACCTTTTTCCAACTTAGGCTTAAATGTTTTCAGCAGATCGATAATATAAAATGCTCAAAATTCATTACAAAGCATAAAAATCATTTTGGAATGGAAAATAAATTGTTTTGCTTTGGTGATAACCATAAATGATTAGTTTCTTTTCTCTCTCTCTCTCTTTTTTTTAACTGAAATTTGAATGTTAGTCTACTGACAGCTGAAAACATTTAGATTTGCTCCCATTCTTGGAGTACTCCAGGGATCTGGCTCTTTCCATTGCTCCCTCTATCTTTAAAATAATATGTATATAACTATCCATCACATTTGCAATCCATTACCAACTCTTCTCATATTATATGGAGTTCACAAACATGCATCACATGAACTCTCTTCTTATTGCAGTCTAATTTTAGATGTTATCTAAGAATCTAAATCCTGCCAAGCCAATACCAGAAAACAATTCCCAAATGTATAGCAGTTATTTTAAGTACCTCCTCCATTTCTAGTATCTTGTGTTTTCTTTTTTTATTCATTTTTGATTGATACATTGCAATTTGTAAGTGATACTGAATTGACAGTTCCACTTTAAAAAAAAATATATTTCAACTAAGTTTTTGTATTTTATTTCATTTTCCCTTAAATACTTTGAAACTAATTTTTTAGGTAAGTATTTCTGTTTACTTTCTGTGTGTAATATATATGTGGTGGTGGGGGTGTGCACATGCAGAATAAAAAT